CCCGGCCGCATTTGCAGTTTTGATAGATAATGCCAAATTGTCAATCACGGGAGTGGTACCAATCTGCACAAGCCATCAGAAATGTACTCAAGAGTGTATGTCTCCTTCACCTCAATAGAGTCAAAAGGAATATGATGAACTAGGAAAAAATATTTGCAATTCATATCACAAATGAAGGGCTATTCTGCCTAATATACAGAATTCTTGACCAGGCACAGTGGCTCACCCCTGTAATCCCAGCACTTTGGGAGGCCGAGGCAGGCGGATCACTTGAAAGTTCAGGAGTTCAAGACCAGCCTGGGCAACATAGGGAGACCCAACCCCCTGCCCCCCGCATCTCTACAAATCATAAGTACATAAATAAAACATTAATGAGATGGATGCAATTGAAAGTGATTGAAATACAGAAATGAGAAGTTCCTGAGAAGGTGGGAGTGGGTGGGATTCAAGGCCAGGTGTAAGTGCAGGTATTTGCCCCAGTTTCTTTTTTGAGACAGAGTCTCGCTCTGTCACCAGGCTGGAGTACGGTGGCGCAATCTCGGCTCACTGCAACCTCAAACTCCCTGGTTCAAGCAATTCTCCTGCCTCAGCCTCCCAAATAGCTGGGATTACAGGCATGTGCCACCACGCCCAGCTAATTTTTGTATTTTTAGTAGAGAAAAGGTTTCACCATGTTGGTCAGGATGGTCTTGATCTCGTGACCTCATGATCTGCCCACCTTGGCCTCCCGAAGTGCTGGGATTACAGGCATGAGCCATTGCATGCAGCCCCCCAGTTTGTTTTTCTTTTTCTTTTTCTTTTTTTTTTTTGAGACAGAATCTCACTCTGTTGTCCAGTAGGGAGTGCAGTAGCATGATCTCAGCTCCCTGCAACCACTGCCTCCCAGGTTCAAGCGATACTCCTGCCTCAGCCTCCTGAGTAGCTTGGATTACAGGCACCTGCCACCACATCTGGTTAAATTTTGTATTTTAGTAGAGACAAGGTTTCACTATGTTGGCCAGGCTGGTCTCAAACTCCTGATCTCAAGTGATCTGCCTGCCTCAGCCTCCCAAAGTGCTGGGGTTACAGGTGTGAGCCACTGTGCCCGACCCTGCCTCAGTTTCTCCATTCATAAAATGGGGGTTCTCGAGCTAACCATGAAAGGCACCTAGCACTGTCCTTTGTCAAATGTAAACTCATCCCTTTGCTGAGGTCCAGGGCAGACTGGCACTGGGACCACCGGGCAGAGGCTGGCCTTGGGAACAGGCTTGTGCACAGCTCCTCCAAGTGCAGCCTGGAGGACCATCAGAGGCCAGAGGAGGGCCTGAGCCACTCCTGGAGCCTCATCACAGGAGAGGAAGGGAGACCTTTAGCAAAGCCGGAGGAGGGGAACCTTCGGGCCTGGAGCCATCTCTCTGTGAGTCCACCCACACCCTTCTTCAGCTCCACCAAGCCCACGATGGGGACAGATTGGCCCTAAATTTAGCTAAACATCAGCCCCGGAAGGAACTTTCAAGAAGCACAGTGCACGACAGCAGCCATGATCACCGTCAGTGTAAGCCCCTGGTTTGTAAAGAGGAAACAGGCTGAGAAACGGCGGGGGTGTATACCCAGAGCTGCGCTGCATGGCAGGCCTGACTCCTGCTAACAAGTGTGTGTTATGGGCTGGAACGTGTCCCCCTCTGAATGCATATGTTGAAGTCCTAACTCCCAGTGCCTCAGAATGTGACTGTGTCTGGAGACAGAGTCTTTAAAGAGGTAATTAAGTGAAAATGAAGTCATCAGGGTGGGTCCCTATCCAATATGACTGGTGTCCTCTTAAGAAAAGGGGATTAGGGCCAGGTGTGGTGGCTCACATCCGTAATCTCAGCACTTTGGGAGGCAGAGGCAGGCGGATCGCTTGAGATCAGGAGCTCGACTAGCCTGGGCAACATGGTGAAACACTGTCTCTACAAAAAATTCAAAAATTAGCTGGACTGCCGCCGAGTATGGTAGCTCCTGACTATGATTCCAGCACTTTGGGAGGCCAGAGTGGACGGATCACCTGAGGTCAGGAGTTTGAGACCAGCCTGCCCAATATGGTGAAACCCCATCTCTACTAAAAAAATCTGCCAGGCATGGTGGCATGTGCCTATAGTCCCAGCTACTTGGGAGGCTGAAACAGGACAATTACTTGAACCCGGGAGGTGAAGGTTGCAGTGAGCTGAGATCACACATTTGCACTCCAGCCTGGGTGACAGAGCGGCTCTGTCTCAAGAAAAACATTAGCTGGGCATGGTGGTGAGTGCCCGTAATCTCAGCTACTTGGAAGGCTGAGGCAGGAGAACTGCTTGAATCCAGGAGGTGGAGGTTGCAGTAGCTGAGATTGTGCCACTGCACTCCAGCCTGGGTGACAGAGCAAGACTCTGTCTCAAAAAAAGGAAGAGGAGTAGAATACAGACACGCAGAGGGAAGACCCTATGAAGATACATGAAGAAGGTGACCATCTAAGGCCCACTGTGGTGGCTTAAACCTATAATCCCAACACTTTGGGAGGCCAAAGCAGGAGGATTGCTTGAGGCCAGGAGTTTGAGGCCAGCATTAGCAACACAATGAGAGCCTGTCTCGCTTTTATTTTTTTGAGACCAAGTCTCACTCTGTTGCCCACGCTGGAGTACAGTGGCGCAATCTCAGCTCACTGCAACCTCCGCCTCCGGGGTTTAAGCGATTCTCCTGCCTCAGCCTCCCGAGTAGCTAGGACTACAGGCGTGAGCCACCATGCTCGGCTAATTTTTGTATTTTTAGTAGAGACGAGGTTTCACTGTGTTGGCCAGGCTGGTCTTGAACCCTGACCTCAGGTGATCTGCCCGCTTCAGCATCTCAAAGTGCTGGGATTACAGACATGAGCCACCATGCCCGGCTGAGCCCATCTCTTAAAATTGGCCCTCTGCTCCTCCCACTGGACAGACAGCTGCATCTTCTCTAGCATCCCTGAGACACTATAGTGAAAGTGAAGATCGGAGTCAACGAATTTGGTCGTATTGGGCACCTGGTCACCAGGTGCTTTTAACTCTGGTAAAGTGGATACTGTCGCCATCAATGACCCTTTCATTGACCTCAACTACATGGTCTACATGTTTCACTATGATTCTGCCCATAACAAATTCCATGGCACCGTCAAGGCTGAGAATGGGAAGCTTGCCATCAATGGAAATCCCATCACCATCTTCCAGGAGCGAGATCCCTCCAAAATCAACAGGGGCAATGCTGGTGCTGAGTACATAGCGGAGTCCACCAGCATCTTCACCACCATGGAGAAGGCTGGGGCTCACTTGCAGGCGGTAGTCAAAAGGATCATCACCTCTGTCCCCTCTGCTGATGCCCCCATGTTCGTGATGGGCGTGAACCATAAGAAGCATGACAATAGCCTCAAGTTCGTCAGCAATGCCTCCTGCACCACCAAGTGCTCGGCACCCAAGGTCATCCATAACAGCTTGGTATTGTGGAAGGACTCATGACTACAGTCCACACCATCACTGCACCCAGAAGACATCCCTGACTCTGCTGGCGCTGCTAAGGCTGCCGGCAAGGCCATCCCTGACCTGATCGGGCAGCTCACTTGCATGGATTTCCGTGTCCCATTGCCAATGTGTTGGTCGTGGACCTGACCTGCCTTCAGGAAAAACCTGTCAAATACAATGAGATCAAGAATGTGGTGAATGGGCCGGGCGCGGTAGCTCACGCCTGTAATCCCAGCACTTTGGGAGGCTGAGGTGGGCAGATCACGAGGTCAGGAGTTTGAGACCAGCCTGGCCAACATAGCGAAACCTCGTCTCTACTAAAAATACAAAAATTAGCTGGGCATGGTGTTGGGCGCCTATAATCCCAGCTACTCGGGAGGCTGAGGCAGGAGA